GCCACCTCGGGCAGGTCGCCTGGGGCGGGCTTGGCACTGGCCTTTTTCTTGCCACCCCCCTTCTGAGGCTGGTGGCGCTGGCGGGGTCAGCGGTGGGTAATCCTCTCCGAGCTTTTGCCCCTGCGGCGGCAGCAGCAGCAGCCTGGACGCTTGTCTTGCTTTGCTGGCGTCCTGGACCAGCCCTCTGTCCCCTTCTTCATCTCCTTTCCCTCCCCGTGTGGCCTCCCCCCCCCAGCCAAGAGGCAGGGGACATCCTAATATCTGTTGCATACATTCAGTATTCTAATATACTATCCTGAAGAAGAAATACACTAAAATACATTAACATACAGAGGATTTATAGTCCTTTTTTATGAGAATACATATGTGAGGACTATAATGTGCAATAAACCACTTGTATTTATTCTTTAGTTATTATTTAGAAGTATGAGCATGGCATGGCAGTACTGCACAGACATATAGTGGCAGCCCCCCCCCCCCACATGTTGCCCCCCCCCCCCACCCCCCCCCCCAAGCAAAAAGTTGTTAGCTATGGGGCTGGTTTGGCCCTAAAAACAGCCATGAGGTGGCGCGGGGGGGGGATTTTTTGTTCAGGGAAATGCCATGGTGTGAGAGTTATTTATTTATTTATTCGATTTATACCCCGCCCTCCCCGCGAGCAGGCTCAGGGCGGCTTACATTAGCTGGTACATAGGTACCAATAAAATTCACATAAAATCAGTTGGACAGTTCAAATACAATTACGATACAGATACAATAAAATCATAAAATCATAAAGTGCTGGCGGTAGTTCATACATTATTTGATGTGGCGTGCAAAGAATGTGTACAAATAGACAGTTTCCCCACTCAGTGCTCTCCCTAAATCACATGGTGGCAAAGGCCACATCAAAACCAGGGCTAGGATCTAAAGCCACGCTTGTTGGTTGTAGTTGTGCAGGCGGCTCCTAAGTTGAAAGCCTGGCAGAAGAGCTCCATCTTGCAGGCCCTGCGGAACTGTAAAAGACCCCGCAGGGCCCTGATCTCCTCTGGGAGCTCATTCCATCAGTATGGAGCCGCCACTGAAAAAGCCCTGGCCCTGCTGGTAGCAAGCCTGGCATCCTTGGGGCCTGGGAGGGTTAGTCGATTTTGAGACCCCGATCGTGGTGCCCTCTGGGGTATATATGGGGAAAGGTGGTCCCTCAGGTATGTTGGACCCTGGCCATATAGGAGGAGGAGGAGATTGGATTTATACTCCGCCCTTCACTACCCAAAGGTGTCTCAGAGCAGCTTACAAACTCCTTTCCCTTCCCCTCCCCACAACAGACACCCTGTGGGGTAGGTGGGGCTGAGAGAGCTCTTGACAGAAACTGCTCTTTTTCAAGAACAGCTCTTGTCAGAGCTATGGCTTGCCCAAGGTCATCCAGCAGGTGTAAGTGGAGGAGTGGGGAATCAAACCTGGTTCTCCCAGATTAGAGTCTGCGCACTTAATCACTACACCAAACTGTATAGGGCTTTAAAGGTAAGTACTAGCACCTTGAAGCGAATTCAGTATGCTATTGGCAGCCAGTGCAATGTCTTCAGCACAGGCCGGATGTGCTCCCATCTGGGAAGGCCCATCAGGAGCCTGGCTGTGGCATTCTGCACTAGCTGCAGCTTCCGAATTTGTGACAAGGGCAGCCCCATTTAGAGAGCATTACAGTAGTCTAGTCTCAAGGTGACCATCGCATGGATCACCGTAGCCAGGTCATTGTGGTCGAGGAAGGGAACCAACTGCCTAGTCAGCCGAAGATGGTAAAAGGCCAACTTAGCAGTGGCTGCCACCTGGGCCTCCATTGTTAAGGAGGCATCCAAGAGCACTCCCAAACTCCTGACCTCCTGCGCTGGCACCAATAGTGCCCCATCGAAGGTTGGGAGTGGGAACCCTACCCCCGAACCGCCCCGACTCAAGCACAGGACCTCCGTCTTTGCCGGATTCAGCTTCAGCCGGCTCAGTCTAAGCCAACCAGCCACATCTAGAAGTGCCTGGTCCAGGTCTTCCGGCCTGGAGTCGGAACAGCCGCCCAACATCAGATAGAGCTGGGTGTCATCAGTGTACTGGTAACATCCCAGCCCATACCTCCGGGCAGTCTGGGCAAGGGAGTGCTTATAGATGTTAAATAGCATCGGGGAAAGCACTGCCCCTTGGGGCACTCCACATTCCAGCAGGGGCCTCCTGGACTGCTGTTCCCCAAGTGCCACCCTTTGTCCCCGACCTTGGAGGCAGGAAGAGAGCCATTGCAGGGCAAGCCCCTGGATCCCCATGTCAGTGAGGCAGTGGGTCAGCAACTGAAGGTCGAACGCAGCCGACAGGTCCAGCAACAACAGTGCCACCGAACCGCCCCGATCCAGATGCCTCCAGAGGTCATCAGTAAGAGCGACCAGTTGGCCCCTTTCCCCCAGGGCCACGGCCATTATCCATATTGCTCCCCCCCACCCTTTGCAGCATTTGGGGGAGGCAATTTGGCTGCTGTCAGGACCAGCCAGTTTGGGAGTCCGGGATAGGCAGAGGAGAAGCAGTGGCTGTGTTCGGCCTGTTCCTCCCCCCCCCCCCCCCCCCCGCT